TAGTATAGTATAGTAGTAGTAGTAGTAGTAGCAGTAGTAGTATAGTGAATTATATAGTAGGTAGTAGGTAGTACATATACAGCTGCTATCGTATAGTGTACAGGGTACGGTAATTCCAGACATTAATTCGGTACAGTCGTAGCATATAGTACGTAGTATAACACACATGAGCTCGAGATATGTATTTTATAGAGCGACTATATATATATATATATGCTTTATACTATGTATTTTAAATTCCTGAGCTAGCATACTAGCTTATAACATATTTATATTAATTATATATTACATACATATATATAAACAATTTAGATATGACCATGACTATATATCTAGTAATTATAACATATAATCAGGAAGGATGCTCACAGGTTTCTTCTACTGTATGGATGGGGAGGGTTTGGGGTTTTGTTTCCTGGGCCTGTATCTCAAGATGACGGGCTTGGCCAGATTGGGTTTCTGGGTTTGCTTTGGGGCTTTTCGGTTCTAGGGGCTTAACCTCGCAGTAAGTTCCATATCTTAAATTTTCGAGATGGATCCATTGCTAGCACAGTACGACAATCGTGCGATGTGCGAGGTCTTTTCCCAGAGGACCCCCAACACTTGCATATGCTAAAAAAAGATCGGAGCTCTATGGTTCGGATTTACAAAGACCGTTAGGTTTGCCAGCACTAGTGCATATGCTCAAGACCCCTAGGTAAATATGTAATACTACCTAATATATTAGCATAATCCCAAACCAAGCTAGCATGAAGACCTCTGCATTTCCGCGTCTGCACAAATCGGATCCGGAGGGGCCTGCTGGTACTTTATTAGTTAGTTTAAGGTACCGGTTCAGGGTGTGGGGCTAGCGTTCCGGGTGCAGGGTTTTGGATGTAGGGACCGGGTTATGGAACCCCCCAGCGTACCCCACGACCCCAGACCCTACATCTTGCAAACGTATTATTATAGTCTACATCGATCCGAGCGAGGTGCTCTTCAAGCTCCGCGTGAACCTCATGTAGAGGTTGCGGGCCAAGCGTTTGTCGCGAGCTTCATCGGATTCACCCGGTTTGGCGTCCTCCTGCAACGAAATTTCGATGCTGGATACTATTAATAGCTAGTACTGTACTAGAAAGACATCGAGCATATTATGTCACGACAGTCCTGCATCTGAAAGCTGTTAATCACATTGCTGTCCCGGGCTTGATACACAGCAGGGCCTTCAGGCCGGGTAGCCGTCTGATTGGTAGCAGCCGTCGAATTGGTAGCCGTCGAATTGGTAGCCGTCGGATTGGTAGCCGTCGGATTGGTAGCCGTCGGACTGGTAGCCGTCGGATTGGTAGCCGTCGGATTGGTAGCCGTCGGACTGGTAGCCGTCGGATTGGTAGCCGTCGGATTGGTAGCCGTGGGATTGGTAGCCGTGGAGCCTGCATCCGGAGCGGTAGTGCCAGCACTTGGACCGGAGGTGGAACCATCGGAGGGTGGATCGCGAGGCATCGCCTGCATCAATTGTTTGGGACGAGGTGTCGGTATCGATACTTATAAGATTGCTACAAATTGCAGGGTTTAGCAAGCTAGTTCAGGGCCCGGGGTGCAGTCGATCATGCTACTGGCATACGTTGTGCGTACATATATATATATATATGATATAAGACAGAGAGACAGAGATTTTTATGACAGCTCTAGATATCGATGTTTCATACATACATATATATATATATATGTATGTATGTCGTGTATAAAAGCCTATATGTAACATATATATGTAGGGGTTTAATGGGGGTTTGTGGCAAACAGTTTGGCCAGCAGGGCACTCTCGATGTGTAACGTTGCTGCGTAGGGCTTTAGGGTCCCTAGTAAATTGGAGGTTATATATATTTTTTGTAGATCAGGGCAGGCTCGTCGCATGATGTGTGAGAAACCGACAGCTTCAAGTATGGGGCTGCACAGCTACGAGATTTAGGGGTTAAGGTGGTTTAGGGTTGAGGGTAGCATCAACGTACCCAACCCATAGTATAATATGGTAACCTATACAATCTATCGCAGTCCCAGCTTCATTGGCGGCCGCTGATGCCCGGGCTTTCTGGATGGTGTCCTCCAGGTCGACAATGATCCAGAGCCTCAAGACCTCGGTAATGGACTCCTGCATGGCAACCTCAGCATCCTTGACTTTTTTCTCCACATGCTCTTTCATATCCTTCAGCTTTTCCTCGAGCCACGTGTCACAGTTGCTCCAGCAGCTCTTGTCCATCTTCGCTTTCATGTCCTCCACTTGGCTCCTAGCCGAGGACATCATCGTCATGGTCTTGGAGTCCAGGTCCAGTAGGTCTGTGATGGCTGCCCAGGCATAGTTGATCGCGGAAACAACGGGCTGAAGCATGTACGGGTTCACACCGGCGGCCGAGTAGATCTCACACACCGACCCGCCCGAGACCATCCCATTAGCATCGCGTGTGAAAAACCTCAACATAAACTCGATGAGCTTCTGCGACCCTGGCACCAGGGCGTCCACCTCGGGCAAGCTCGCTGGCCACATCACTCGATCATCGAGGCCACCCATGTTGAAGTAGCCATGCACCACGGCGTCTCGCAGGGTCAGAGTCGGAATCTCCTCCTCCATGATTTCGTCCAATGCCTGCTCAAGCCCGCCAGAGGATGCGTGACCAAGCGTCACCGTCGTCATTGTGTCCAGGTGTCGCAAGCCTGGTCATGAATCGTATAGGACAATTGTTATAAATATCTGGTATTAATTAAACTACCGAAGTCGACAACAAATATTGTCATTTTACTAGTCGAGTCTATATATATGTAAGCTGAGAGTCTGCTTGCATCCGAACTCGAAGCTCCACCTGTGTCCTTGTCAGCATCCTGGCTTCGATACAGAACACTACAAGTAATGATGGGATGTCAAACAGTATACTGCAGTGCCAGGGATCTGGAGCTCGGGCTTCAGGGTTTAGATTTAGGGCTTAGGGTTTGGAGTTTGGTGGTTAGTTTAAATTTATGGTACTGTAGTAGACAGCGAGTTCATCGCTGGTGAAGAGCAGTTTGGCTGTTGGTTTCGGAGTTGAGGTTTTACTGATTCCTGGCTTTCGGCTGCGTGCATCAATCCATGTATCGTCTTCGGGTCCGAGCTAGGGGTTTAGGTCAAAATTGGTGCCCTAATTAACATTGAATTAGTATATTAATTATAAGATAGGCTCGGGTGTCCCGTGCTATGGTGTAAGGTTTGGGTTTAGGGGCAATTAGGAGTCTCCAAAAACAGAGCTTAATACCGGGCCGGGCTCCTCTGTGATCACGAGCTTCTTCGGGGTCACCTGGGTGTTGGGCTTTTTCACCGGTGGAGAGCGAATCGGCGTGCTCATGGGACTTGCAATAGGCCCAGGATTCCTTGCGGGGGAGACCAGCAGCTGCGATGCTGTCGCCATCTGTTGCGGGGGCTGCTGCGATGCTGTGGCCATCTGTTCTGGGGGCTGCTGCGATGCTGTTGCCATCTGTTCTGCGGGCTGCGATGCTGTCGCCATCTGTTCTGGGGGCTGCTGCGATGCTGTTGCCATCTGTTCTGGGGGCTGCGATGCTGTTGCCATCTGTTCTGGGGGCTGCGATGCTGTCATCAGAGGGGTCACAGGCTGCTGCGATGCAGCCACTGTAGAGTTCATGGGCACTGGCTGCTGGCATGCTGGCATCGTCTCTGCTAGGGTCTGCTGCGATGCGGTTGTCAATGTCATCTCCATGGGCACGGGTTCTGCGGGCATCACATACTGCGACGGCTGCTGCGATGCTGTCGCAATCTCGGCTGGGACGGGCAATGGCTGCTGCGAGGTTGTCTCTGTGGGTACTGGCTGTTGCGATGGTGCTGCCGAGGGCTGCTGCGACACATCTGTTTCCATGGGCACGTGCTCTTGTGCTGGAGTCGTCATGGTTGCCAGCTGCGGTGCTGTCGCCATTGTTTGGGGCTGCTGCGATGCTGTACTTGCCATCTCTGCTGTACATGTGACGGGAAAAGGTCCCTGAGCATCCCATATTGATTAC